CCCCTAAAATTTCAGCTTTCTGGCTTTTCTGGTTCCCGATTTAGTAATTTTCCTGCCAAAACTTTCATATGCCCGTACACGGGTACCCCAGGTACTTGGGAAGCTGAATTTGAAATCTCTAAATTGCACGTGGTCAGAGAACATCGTCTTGAAATTCCAGCCTACCAGCTTCTCTGGTTACCGAGTTAGCAATTTTTCTGTCAAATATTTCATGTACTAGTACGTGAGAACCGCGCACATTTGAAAGCTGAATTTGAAATCTTTAGCTCATACATGCACAGGGAATATCCCTGCAAAGTTTCGGCCCCTTATCTTGACTGGTTTTCGAGATCGCCTTTCCGTCAAAAATTAGTATATTTTTTTGAGACGTCCATACGCGGCACTCAAGCGTAGGCGCATGATGATGTTAAAACAGGAGGGTCATGCATGGCATGGGCACATACTCTCAAAGTTTCAGCCTTCTAATTTTTCCGATTCTCGAGTTGTAAGTGGGTGACAAAAAGTGCGACCACACAAACAGACAGACACACACACAGCCTCTTGCCAATATGCGTTTTTGCAATTTGCATATGTGCAAAAATGCCTAAAAATGAAAGTGGACATACATTGGTGTGTTGCTATGGCCCGCAAATGCATATGTCAGTGCGTGCAAGAGTGACCAAGCCATGTTCTCTCTTCTGCACTGGAATTTAGCCTTTATGAGATGTGCGATCAGAAGTCGCTTTTTTTGTAGTTCCACAATGGGAAGCATATTTAGGAGGGGCAATGGCATCGCTTGCGGCACTTCGTGCTGTGGACGAAAAGTTGCGTCAAAGCAGTCAAGTAAAGCTTATTACATTCGGGCAGCCACGTGTCGGCGACTTTTATCTTTCAAGGCATATCAATGATGTCATCCCATACAGGTTCGCCAATTAGATCCCTGTGCATTTGGCGCTCCGGGCTACCCGATAATCTAATCATTTTTATTTAAATGAAGCTTTATAGTGCAGCCTCATTTTTCCTCTCTCTCTTTCCACTAAAAACGTTTCTTATCAATAGAAAATGATATATTGATGTGCGCTGCGCTCGTACGGAACTTTTGCGGTGATAATTTCAGCTTTCGAGTTGTTAATCAAATGGATATTGTGGCGCATTTGCCAGCTTGCCAAAAAGATGAGAGCTACCCGGAGAAAAGCAAGCCCTGTCTGGGTAAAAACAAAGACTATGCGTACCATCACGGCACCGAAATTTGGCTCGTTCATTTCTTTAATTTTTTGTTTTTCGCCTTCTCAAGAATTGTGTAATTTCAGGGCTAATCCGCAGAAATTAATTATTTCTTACATGTTTCTTATCAGGAATCCACTACAGTTCGTGAACTTTAAGCGATGCAACTGAACTAAATATGAGAATGGCAAAACTTTTAGGTATCCCAATGGTATGACTGATGGCGCGAAGTATCAGGAGTGTTTGGGAACTCCGCAAGATGAAGATTTTAAATGTAGCGACCAGTATAGGTTCAATGCACGAGACTACAAGTTATACGTCAAACAACATCGCTATTATTTCGGTCTTAAAGCAAGTTTTTATGCGTTTTTTGCAGCTATGCAATGCAAAAACGCATATTGACGAGGGGTTGTCTGTGTGTCCGTGTGTCTGTGTGTACGTCTGTCACGTATTTTCATCTCAAGACCTACAAAAGCTACAGGGCTGAAATTCTGGGAGATCAATCTCATGCACGCACGGGCCCCAACCCAAAACGAGCACGTGGTATCCACGTAAGAGCCCGCCAAAGTTTTTTCGGGTAAGCTCATAACTCGGGGGTCTGAGAAGCTAGAAAGCTGAAATCTTAAGGGGATGTTCCCCGTCCAAGTTGGTATTAATGAGCTCAAACCCAGCCCTGTTACCCACGTGCGGATCCGTGAAAGCGTGTTACCCACGTGCGGATCCGTGAAAGCTTCCTTCCA